GATAGATAGATAGATAGATAGATAGATAGATAGATAGATAGAATAGATAGATAGATAGATAGATAGATAGATAGATAGATAGATAGATAGATAGATAGATAGATAGATAGATAGATAGATAGATAGATAGATAGATAGATAGATAGATAGATAGATAGATAGATAGATAGATAGATAGATAGATAGATAGATAGATAGATAGATAGATAGATAGATAGATAGATAGATAGATAGATAGATAGATAGATAGATAGATAGATAGATAGATAGATAGATAGATAGATAGATAGATAGATAGATAGATAGATAGATAGATAGATAGATAGATAGATAGATAGATAGATAGATAGATAGATAGATAGATAGATAGATAGATAGATGATAGATAGATAGATAGATAGATAGATAGATAGATAGATAGATAGATAGATAGATAGATAGATAGATAGATAGATAGATAGATAGATAGATAGATAGATAGATAGATAGATAGATAGATAGATAGATAGATAGATAGATAGATAGATAGATAGATAGATAGATAGATAGATAGATAGATAGATAGATAGATAGATAGATAGATAGATAGATAAATAGATAGATAGATAAACAGATGATTACATAGATAGATTCATATTAATTTACTAACTTATGACGGTCGTTTTATAGGAAGACCTCAACAAGCCCCTCAACCCAATGCCGAAATGGGTCAACAAAATATGATGCAGGACCCTTTGAATGCTTTGCAAAATTTGGCCAGTCAAGGCAATCGTAATCCCCAAATGATGTCTATGCCGGGAGGACCTAATGTTCAACAAGGTGCCGGTCCGGGAGGTCCAGTGCCGGCTTCCAATCTCTTACAAACTTTAAATCAACAAAGACCAGGCCAACAACAAATGCAGCAAATGCAAGGCATAAGACCACAAATGTCTATGGGTGCTGGTGGCCCGGGACAACAACAGGGTAACATCGTGGGCGGTGGACCGGGTCAGCAGCAAATGATGCCTCAAATGGGTGGCCCTGGTGGTTTACAAATGAATGTAATGGGTGGTCCTAATGGTGGACCCAATCAGCAAATGGTGGGTAATGCCCAACAAATGGGAGGCCCCTCTGGAGGTCCGGGTGTGGGACCCGGTGGCCCGCAAGGCATGCCTGGGCAAATAAATCAAATGGGTGGCCCTAACTCAGGCGGTCCAATGGGTCCGGGCTCTACAGGTCCCGGTGGACCTAATCAAATGCAAATGAATTCTGGTGGTCAAATACAAGGCGGCCCTGTAGTCACCATGAATGTTCAGCAGCTTCCCAATCAAATGCAACAGCAACAAATGCAGCAAATGGGTATGCAACATCCACAGCTTAATCAAATGATGAATGCTCGCATGAATCAGGGTGGCCCGGTGGTAACGATGAATGTGGCAGGACCTAATGCTGGAGGCAATCAAGGTATGCAGGGTATACCACCAAATATGCAACAGAATCAAGTTGGCGGTGTAGGCACAGGGGGACCTATGCATCCCAATAATGTGGGTAATGCTGGACAACAAGGTCAACCAGGCGGTATGCCGAATACTGCGGGATCTCAAGGTAAGTGGAAAAGAAAGTTTATTAAAATGTTTGTTCTCAGCAAAATTTAATTTCCAGGCAATCTCAACCAAATGCTAAATATTCCACCGGGAATGCAGAAAAATCCCAACATGACTATGGGACAGGGTCAACAAATGTTTAATGTTAATCGTGGTGTGGTAGGACAGCAACAATTCCTACGACAAAGCCCTTCACCTTCCACAGTTTCCTCCCCTGCGGGAGGTTTAAATGTCCAGCAGCAACAGCAATTGCAACAGCAGGTGGTCAACAATCAACAGCAGCAACAATTACAACAAAACAATCAAGCTGGTGGACCACAGGGACCACAACCCCTACCCAATCCACAAATGATACCAAGTCCAGCTTTGGTGCCCTCCTCAAGTCCACAAATGCCAGGTTTAATGCAAAATCCCAATCAAAGACAACAAATGCGTCAATCACCAAGTGCACCACTTAATACGCCTGGACAGGTGACCCAAAACAGTCCCTTCAATGCTCAAGAAGATCAGTTGTATCGGGAGAAATACAAACAATTGACCAAATACAAAGAAACCTTAATGCGTATGGTGGCCAAATTTCGCAATGATGGCAATAATGCAGAGTCTTATACAAAAATGAGTAAATTATTGGAAATTCTAAGTAATCCCATGAAAAGAGTGCCTTTGGAGACGCTATTGAAATGTGAAAAAGTTTTAGAGAATATGAAAATATCACCATTTTGTGGACAAACATTTGGAGTAAGTTTTTCTTTTTCTTTAAAATAATTAAGCAAATTTATTTATTGTTTTGATGAACTTTTAGAAATCTTCTAATCCCTTAATGGAAGTCATCAATACCACCCTACAAAGTCCCATAGCCAATCATACTCTCTATAGAACCTTTCGACCTAGTTTGGAATTACTATTTGGTACAGATATTTCGGCACCAGCACCACCTAAAATGCGTCGCATGTCGGAGAAACCCACTGTTACTTCCGATATAGAAATACCACATGTTTTGCAGGGAGAAATAGCTCGCTTAGATCAAAAGTTTAAAGTTACTTTAGATCCTACCGCACAAAATAATATTAAATCTATTAAATTAATATGCTGTCTAGATGACAAAAAGTTACCTAGTGTACCACCAGTTAGTGTTAATATACCAGGTTTGTTTTAATGTTTATAAAAGACTACTTTCTAAGTTTAATTTCTATTTTTTCTTTTACAGAAGACTATCCCTGGGCTTCTCCTGAGTGTTCTCTAATTGAACAAGACTATTCTGCTACTGCTTTTCTTAAGGCTGTACAGAATGCTTTAATGTCTCGCATTGCTAAATTGCCTAAATTGTATTCATTATCTCATCTTTTGGATACTTGGGAAATGTCTGTACGTCAGGCCTGTTCACCAAATGCTGTGAAGCCTGTTTGTGAATTTACCGCCTTATTGGGCATGTAATTTTCATCTAACACATTCATATTTCATTTTGAAAACTTCCATTTTATGAAACATTTTTTATTGCTTAAGCTGCAAGTTTCTTTAGTTTTAGACTCTATATTAAAATGCTCCTGATAAAGGTATAATATCAATTATTAGTGTTTTATTGTTATTTAATTTTTTGTTTGTTTTTTTTATTTTATAGCAAATTGTTCTCAACAAATTTCAACTCAATTTACTCAAGATTTTCAAATATTTAAACAAGAATTCTTTTAAAATTAAGGGACAACGGTAAGTTTTTTTCCATAATTTTCTTTTTATATATTTGTTAGTAATTGTAGCAAATTTTTTGGCCTTTTAAAAATTTCAAAATTAATAGGAAATTGCAAACATTTTTATCTTTTATCAACAATGACCGAAAAGTTAATTATAAACAGATATGAGTAGATTTCCATGAATGCAATATTATTTTCAAAAATCTGATACATATTTAATTAACAAATTTAATTAATTTTTAAAAAATGAAATGGTAACAAAATCAGTCTAAAATCTAGATCTTAAAAATATCAATTTTATGTTCAATACCGAAAAAAATTTATATAAATTTGAAATGTCTTAAATTGCTAAAAAGTCGAACTTTTCGTAAATTGAAAAAAAATCGAAAGGTCGACTCTTCATATATTGTAAAAAGTCAAAAAGTAGACTTTTAACTATAACATTATTGCATCTGGCGTATCAATTGGCGGTTTTTCCACCAACAAAACATAAATTTTATAGAGTAACTAATACGGTTTCTCGTTAACCTATCAACAGCTATAAAAATCGAAAATGTTCTCTAGAGAAGAACATTTCACGAAGACAGGACAGTTATTCTTTCTTATTCCCTATTATAGACTCGTGTATATGTTATTTTATATATGCTTTCATGGAGGATTGTTTCTAGTTTATTGTATTGTTGTTTTTTCCAGTTCATTCGATTCATACGATATCGATATGAAAACTCTTTTGATATTGATTAATAGAATAGATTTACAGCATGATTTACAGAGATGTTCCCTTCTTGATGAGGGACCCAGTTATTGTCAGTTCTTTCCCTATGATATTGCTAGGTACATTTGAATGATTTGATACTCACACCAACTCTGGGTATGGATGTTTCACCATCTTATCAAGAGATAACCTACAACCATGTAACAGTCTAAGTGGTATTCGGCAAGTTTACTGTACAAGTCTTTGTACAAAATAGTACAATGTCTTCCAGGTTATCTCCATTTTTATAGTCTAAAAATCAACTCTAAGATGCCTTAAAGGCCGTTTGAAGACTTGCACCCATCAGTAGCAGATTTCGAGCGTTCCATTATTTGAGTAAAATGAATCGTTCGTTATCTTTAGATAATTATAGAATGAAGATTTATCGCTTTTCAGATTTCTCAAAGTAATATATGTTGGTATTGGGTTTTGTTGTTGTTGTTGTTGTTGTTGCGACCTGTTTTGCAAACATTTAGGATGTTGTAAAAGATGTCGGGAAACCCATGGTAGCAGGTTTACTATCACCCTTCACCTTCAAGTAAGTTATTCCGTTTGTAGTTTCTACAATATCATCTTGCAGTCCTTATAAATAGTCGAAGTGCTTTAAGTGAACATCTGCCGTGATGACCTAATTTCACGGTAGTATTTTTACAACCACATGGTGAACTTAGAATCCATGTACAAGCACTCGAGCTATCTAATCCCTGACCAATGTGCTGACCTGTTGTGTAACTTCTGAAATGCAAAAACATGACTTCCGTTGAAAACCACGCACCTTGACTAGATCCTCTCAGTCTAGGAACACAATGTCATATTGTTCCTACTGGGATGTCACCGGAGGATTCATCCCAACTTTAAAAGATCAGTCCTCGTATACGGCAGCTTTGAACGACATTCATAGAGACGCCATCAATAACGCGCACGCAGGATACCGTATGAATGGGCGACCGCCCATAGCAGACACAGAAGAAAACCTGCCGCGGAAAACAAATGCCATCCCCAATGAATGTCCAGCATGTGGTTAAGGTACCCACCACATATTCAACTACTTAACTGATCTTACTTCTCTTTGCCCAATGGATTTATGGACAAATCCAATTGAAGTAGCAAAATTTTTAGGCTTTGACATTGATTTCGAACCCCCAACTAGATTATTGTATGTACATAGTTTTAGCTGTTACAACAACAACCAAGCAGATTGGATGGCCTCTGTTAAAGGCCAGACTGTAGACCATAATACGAATCCACTCATTGAGAAAAACATCCGACACACCAATAACCGGGATGAGTCAAAGTCTGAAACTCTGCTCTGTCCGCTACCGGTGTACCGTGGTACCAGACCGAGGTCCAAGGAAAGGCCGAGGATACATACCAATAGTTTATGATACCGGCAAACTAAAGGTATTTGTAGCACCTCTTTTCTTTCTGATTTTAAATAGGATACTTCTCGAAAGCATGTTTGACAGAATTATTGAAGATTTGGATCCCAAAGATATCTGGGGTCTTCTAAAAATTGATTCCAACAGACAGACGGACATGGCTTAATCGACTATCCATCCACTACGTCTAACCACTTGGCTCTAATTCGTCTTTCGTCACGGATGTACTCTTTGTAAACGCTTTTTAAGCGAAAAAAAAAAAACAAACTTAATCTTTTTGTCTGTCTCTTCGTAATCTATGGGGTGACGATTGACTTCCTCGTAGGACAAGCACATGTTAAAATAGCTAGTCACCCGGGCAGTCGGTGGATAGGGGTAGGTAAAATAGGTAGTTCGCTACTAACCGAATTGCAAAGATACCCCTCTCACCAAGATGAAGGGTATCAAAATCTGTAGGAAGGGATTTTTGGTACTTTTACGTTCTTCTACTGGTACTTTTTGGGTTTTCCGCAATATTGAACCTAAAAACCTATAATCAGACTAAATTTTTGTTTATTTTTTGTTCTTCAATTGGTACGTCTTCAATCTTTTATAATATTGAACATAGAATTCTATAATCAGACAGAATTTTTTGGTATTTTTTCGTTCTTCAATTGTACTTTTTCAATATTTCACAAATTAAAGACGCGGGATACTGATTGGTTGAAAACCTATAAAAGGAGATTTTTTGGTACTTTTTCGTTCCGCAACTGGTACTTTTTTAGTTTTTTATTTAATATTGAACCTAGAAACATACAAAGTCTATAAAACAGCACTTTTTCTGGTACTTTTTCGTCATTCAACGGGTACTTTTTTTTGAGTTTTTGAATATGATACTGATAGATACTGATTGTATATACATCTATATATATAAATTAATGAGTGTTTGTTTGTATGTTTGAACGTTATAGACTACTAAACGGCTGAACCGATTTTCTTCACATTTTCACAGCGTATTCCTGTATGTCTGGAATAGGTAATAGGCTACTTATTTTGAAATTCCAAATGGGCGAGGAGCCACGCCCATTTTAAGAAAATATTAAATCCGTATATTTGAGATCATATAACAGTTAGAGTCCTCAAATTTTGTGGGAGCAACTTTAGTCTCAATATGATTATGTAGGATAAAAAGTAGAGGGAATAGTATTAGGGAGCGTGACACCTCCCATATAAATTAAATACAAAAATTCGTTTATCTTGGAAACGATTACAATTAGAATCTCAAATTTTGCACGAATAACTTTTACATCCATTTTAACATTTTGGGTAATAAATTGGCGGACTACCCATGAGGTGAGCGGCACCTCACATATTAATTAAATACAAAAATTCGTTTATCTGGGAAACTAATGGAACTAAATTCTTCAAATTTTGCACGAAGAACTTAAATATTCATCTGAACATTTTGGACGAAAAAAAGCGGACTTCATCTGGGGCCCCCAGATGAGTTAAATAGGAAAATTCGTATATCTGAGAAACTATTAGAGCTAGAACCTTCAAATTTTACTTGAAGAATCTTGACATTCATCTAAACATTTGGAGCATAACGGGAGGACTTTTAATGGGGAATTTGGCACCTCTCATATGAATTAAATATACAATTTCGTTTATCTGGGAAACTAATAGAACTTGGTTCCTAAAATTTTGCACAAATTACTTTAATATTCATCTGAACGTTTTGGGGCTTTCATCTGGGGAGCTTGAAGCCCCCACTGAGAAACTATTAGAGCTAGAATCTTAAAATTTTACATGAACTTTGACATTCATGTGAACGTTTAGAGCATAACGGGCAATAATTTGCTTGACATCTCTTATATATAACATATTATAAATCTGGAAAACTTTAAATTTTATTGCAATAAATTTTGCATTTAAGTCTTTTTTGCTCTTCCCCCCACCCAACAACAGTTTTGAAATAAAAACACAAATTTTATAATTATGTTTTGAATAAATTGAAAAATATAATATATTGAGTTATTTATTCATCATAAAGTAATTCTTTTTCTCATTAAAGTTTAATTAGATTTCTTTTCTTTTTTCAAGAGAATATTTTTTTTAAATTCTTTTTTCTTTTCTTTTTTTTCCATTGATCATATTGTTTTCTTTTACAATTCTCTTACATTAACATTGCAAATTTTTTTAAAAATTTATATAGTGAAAAATATAGATTACTTCTTTTTACAATTTTATAATATTTATTATAGATATAGTTAAAAAAATAAATTAGATTTTTTGTTTTTTTTCTAGTTTTCTTAATATTTTTTTTTCTTCTTTAATACAATACAAATAGCTTAAAAGTGAAAATAATTAAAAAAAAAAAAACAAAAAACTTAAATATCACAGTTTATATATTTGTTTAATAATAAAAAAAAAGTTTAAAATAATAATGAATTTTTTTTTTAAAGAAATAATAATAATTATAATAATGCTTTAAAATGTTTATAATAATAATGATTTTTGAGAGGTTATTTTTAATTTTTTTTTTAATACAAATAGAGGATTTTTAAAGCAAAAAGTTTTTGATTTTAAAGAAAAAAGGAAAATGAATTTTTTTTAAAAATATATAGAAATTATTTTCCTTTTTTTTGGTAGAAAAAATGAAACTTTTTAGTTTTGTTTAGAAAAGGAAAATTAATTTTGTTTAAAAAAAAATATGGAAATTAATTTCCTTTTTAATAGAAGCTTTTCTTTTTCTTTTTTTTAAAACATTTAATTATTTTAGATAATTTTAAAGAATTTGGCTTTTATAAGGGTTTTATAGTGGAATGACAATTAATTTGTTGAAATTTTTAGCCCTATTTTGAGTGATTTTTTTAGTTTTTTTCTTATTTTAAAAATGAGATTTTTTTTTAAAGCAATTTACTGCTGCAGCGTTATAGCTGCTGGTTGTGGTATTAGATTAGCAAAGCTGGCCACCTGTTGTAAATTTAACAAATCCGTGGCATTGCAAATTTGCACTTGCAATTGCGATATTTGGTTGACATTTTGTACTAAATTTTCACTGGTATTGGCAGGTGCTATGGGTCTTAAATGTTGCAACATTTGTCCATTAAGCTGGTTGGGGGCTTCCATTAATGTGTTTAACGCATTGCTGGCATTGTTAGGGGGCAATTGACGTGTGACCTCTTGGCGTTTAGAAGCATGCCTTTTAACATGTTTGGACAAATGATCACTGCGCATAAATTTCTTATCGCAAACACTGCAAACAAACTTTTTCTCTCCCGTATGGGTGCGTTTGTGTCGTGACAACTCATCGGAACGTGAAAAACGTTTATCACAATTCTCCCATTTACAAATGAAAGGTCTTTCGCCGGTGTGTACTCTTTGATGGGCTTTTAAGTGGCTGGATTTGAAATAATTTTTACCACAATCCGGATGATTACATTCATAAATGCGTTTACGTTCGACGGCGGGTGTAGAAGAGGAGGAGGATGAGGAGGTGGTGGAGGAGTTTGATGCGCCGTTGCAGGCTTTAGCGCTAGTGTTGTTGTTATTAGCATTAGAGGAGGTAACTGTTATGGCGGGGCGATTGGAGGTTAAAGTTTGCAACAACATATTAGGATCTAACAGCAGGAATTGTGGTGTTATAAGACTGTTGCTGCTAGACTCAGTAGCTAAGAAATTAGCCTTAGGAGCAATAACTTGATACTTCTTACTGCTGCTGTTGTTGCTGCTGCTGAGCGAGTCCTGGCTCGAGTTTACTTTGGCTGAAGTGCAAGCGGGTAAAGTAAAACGAAATTGAGGCACCTGCAACATTTGCACATTTGTTGCCGATAATCTTTCCTCCTCCTGCTCTTGCTTTACCACTTGATAGTCATCCACTTTGTTATCTAATACTTGAGGGCTATTAACCGCAGTTATGGATTCACAATCTGAGGCTTCTGTTGTCTCAGTGGCGGTTCTTTTGCGATTCATTTTAAATTTCAAACTACGCCAAACATTAGTCTGAGAACTATCATCATCGGTAGTGTAGGATGATGAGGCGCAGGTTAAGGAACAGCTGGAAGAGGTGGAGGTTATAGAGGGTGTTTGTGATATTGTAGAAATGGTGGAGGAGCAGGAATTTTCATCTAATGTCGAGCATATACCCGAACTATTGACATGCATAATAACACTGGCTCTCTGTTGCTGTTGCTGCTGCTGTTGTTGTTGATAATGTTGCTGTGTTGCTGTTATATCCAATTTTTGTTTTTTCATTGCTGGCTGTACACAACAACTGTCCATGCCATCATCTTCTGTATCTGAGGGTTGTGGTGTAATAATACCATTCTGTTGTGCTGAGGAGGAGCAGATTTTGTTTTTACTATGCTGCTGCTGCTGTTGTTGCTCCAATTGTAATTGTAATTTGGCTTTTAGCAATTTGTCATCTAATTGTGTACAGTTTGCTTTTGGACACTAAAAAGAAATAAAAAGAAAAAACTTATTAAATTTGTTTAAAATAAATAAAATCTCTTTTTGAAAAAAAACTCGCTAAAGAGTTATTAAATGCTTTTTTATTATAAATGGTTTAAGTTTTCTATTGACTTATAATTGCTAATTGAGATACATATAAAAACATCATTATGTTTTAAATGATTATGACTTAATCATTATATTTCCTTAGCTAGTTAAATTTTTATTTCAAAACCTCATAAATACGTACAATGCACGTTTTTACCAGGCTACCAGCAATTGTAGTTAGTTAAACAAATGTTTGCTTGGTTTTGTTTTACTCGCTCTATCCCTCTCTTTCTGTGTTTCTTTTATGGTTTTATCTACTCTCTGTAAAACACAAAAATGTCCCCGTTTAAAAGCAACAAAGCTAATTATTGTTTTTTGCTTTTGGGGTAGCACGCTTTCAATGCATGATTTCTTGGGTTGGTTTCAAAGGTCTACGTCATTGCCCATAAATTGTATGTGTTTATTTTTAAACTCAATAATAATTCCCATGAAAAAAAAACAACAGCAACAAGAATTTATAGAGCAAGTCATAGCGAATACAAACAAATGTGAGAATGTAATACGTACGCTGTAGTCTATGGACAGACAGCAGACTTTTTTTTTCTTTCGTATTGAATACTACGTAAAGGAATTTTATAAACGGGCTTGGTTTTTGCTGCTTTTTATATTATTATTATTATTATTTGTATAAAGGAAAACAAAAAAAGAGCGCCAAGTTAATAAAATTTATAGCAAACAATAACAAAAACAACACTTATTGACGAAACACTCCCTCTTTTATGAAATTAACAGGCACACATGAAAACTAGTTAACTACGTCAAACATTATTTGCTGTTATTTTACAGCATATTGCCAGATTTGTAAGAGTTTTATGAAGGTAATACAAGGTAAATAAGAAATTTCATAAATTTTTCTTATTTTTAACAACAATATAAACATATTAAGCAGTTTTCTTTATAAAACTCCTAAAAATATTAAATGGCTACTTTTTTTAACCAGCTGGCAACCTTAAATTATATTCCCCATTAAAAATGGAGTATAAACACAACAGTACATAAAGTACATGTGTAGAAAAAAAGAGAAAAAGCAAAAACAATTTGCCTTTGCTATTATTTATTGTTATTGTATTGAAAAGTCCAATGTACGGTTTTTTTTTCGCTAGGTCGTTTGTAAACACACACTTTTCTTATGGTAGTTGTTGTTGTTGTTAATGCTATGCATGTGAATACTAATGTATATGCTGCTGTGTTGCTGTTGTTGTTTGTGTATATGCATAAACAATAAACAGAAATAAAACGAAATGAAAAGAAAAGAAACACAAAAAATCACTCGTCTACTTCATGATTGTTCATACAATGTTCACGTGAACACCAGCTGATAACAGAATGATGACTGCGTGATCAAATGCTAAGCATGAGAAAGAAAGAGATAGAAAACATTTGTTTTCAAACTTACTGTAGGTTAAATAAAGATGCCTGCTATTTTAGAGGTAAAAATACACAAAAGTAAATGTTTTTTTTTTGTTTTTTTTTTGTGAATATTATTTTATAATAAATTCATTTAAATAAATGTGTTTTATTATTATGATGATGATTTCTTTGTAAAAAAGTATGATTCGTCATGTTTTTTTTTTAAATAAAATTTCTTTGTACTTAATTTTTTTTATAAATTAAGCGTGTCAGGTTGGGTTTTGTCTTTATAATTAAATATAAAAAAACTGATAAGAACAAGAAAAAAAAAAAACTTAATTACTTAAATTTTCCCAGTCACACACTCTCTTTTTTTAAAAATTAATTAAATAAGAGGTGTGTCTTTTTAACAAATTTTTTAAACTTAACTTTGCCAAAATTTAAAATACCGGTTTTTATTTTAAAATTAATGATTTTTTTTTTTTAATTTTACTTAAAAACTTAACACAAAATTGACCTATATTTCTTAATTAATGACCCATTTTTAAAAATTATTACAAATTAAACTAAATTTTCCTTAATTTTGCTTAAAATTTAAGTAAAACTTTTACAAATTTAAAAAAAACTTCTCTAACAAAAAGTTAGTTTTCTTATAAACAGAAAATTTAAACCATTTTTAAAATTTATTAACCAAAATTTTACAAATTTTGTTAATTTTTAACAAAAAAAATATATTTCAAATATAATTTTTCGCTTTCAAAACTTACATTTTCAATTTTATTTTCGCACAATGGCGGTGTGGCCGGTGGTGAGGGTAATAATGTAATATCCATTTTGTGTTGATTTTTTTGTTTTTTGTTTTTTTTTTTTTTTTAAATTGTCAAATAATCCTTTGTTTTTTGTGTTCAAATAATCCTTTTTAAAGATTTTTTTTTTTTATAAAATTTCACTTGTTTCTTATACAAATAAAACACTTTTCTTTAATATTCATTTAAGTTTTAAGAAACTCTTTTGGTTTTTGTTTAACATTTAGTTAATGTTTCTATTAAATAATTTTTTAATAAATTTTCTTGCACTTTTTTTTAATAAAATTTCTTTTTATTTAAAATATTTCTGTTTTTTTTTAAATAAACTTCAGCGTCTAAATAGCGCTTTTTAACAACCGTTCCGTTGGACAATCAACAAACGAATGAAAACACTTTTGAATTTCATATTAACAAGTTAAGTTTTGCTTTAGCTGCCAGCAGCAGCAAGCAGCAGCAAATCTCATTGAAAACAAAAAAAGAAGGCTCGTTTATGTACACTAACCTACACACAATACACCCTACCACACATTCTATATCATCGTTGAAGTCGTCATTGTAGCTCGTATCGTATCTAGTAGATTGTTTTTCCCCCACTTATTTACAACTTTTTAAGTGAATTTATTTTTTTTTTTCGTTTCTTGCTGTTGTTGCGGACTTTGTGTTGGGGTGTTGTACGGGCAAAACATCACCACAACATCAAACTATATTTTAAGGTTTTTCTTGCAGTTTTCTTCATTTTTTTTTTTTAGAAAATTGAAGATTTATCAAGAATAACCACTGAGTTGTTGTCTTGTTTTTTTCTTGTGAGTTTGTTATGTTGTTTGGTTCTTTTTGCAGTAGTAGTAGCATGACGTGTTTTTGTTTTGTTGTTTATTTGTTGTAAAGGTTATAAGCGGAAGTTTCCATGATTGACATGATTTTGGCGTGTTTTCCACATGTTTACTTATATAAATAATAAAATAGAGGAAAAATAAACATTATTTTTAAAAAATTCTAAAAATAACTAGTTTTGTACTAAAACTATGTTTTTAGTACTAAAAACTATGTTTTCTTAATGAAAAATAAGTTTTGTACTAAAAGCTGTATTTTCTACTAAAAACTATATTTTTCAATTTTTTGTCCTAAAATTCAGTTTTGTACTAAAAAATTCAGTTTTGTACTAAAAACTACATTTTGTTCTAAAACTACGTTTTGTACTAAAAACTAAGTTATTAACTAAAATCTACGTTTTGTACTAAAAACTATGTTTTGTACTAAAAACTACGTTTTGTTCTAAAAACTACATTTTGTACTAAAAACTGTCTTTTGTACTAAAAACAACGTTTTATACTAAAAACTCAGTTTTGTATTTAAAACTCAGTTTTGTACTAAAAACTACGTTTTGTACTAAAAACTACGTTTTGTACTAAAAACTACGTTTTGTACTAAAAACTATCTTTTGTACTAAAAACTACGTTTTGTACTAAAAACTATCTTTTGTACTAAAAACTACGTTTTGTACTAAAATCTGCGTTTTGTACTAAAAATTATGTTTTGTACTAAAAACTTAGTTTTGTACCAAAAACTACGTTTTGTACCAAAAACTACGTTCTGTACTAAAAACTACGTTTTGTTCTAGAAACTACATTTATAAACTGCGTTTTGTACTAAAAACTACGTTTTGTATTAAAAACTCAGTTTTGTACTAAAAACTATGTTTGGTACTAAATACTACGTTTTGTATTAAAATCTAAGTTTTGTACTAAAAACTATGTTTTGTACTAAAAACCCAGTTTTGTATTAAAATCTAAGTTTTGTACTAAAAGCTCAGTTTTGTACTAAAAACTACGTTTTATACTAAAAACTACGTTTTATACTAAAAACTACGTTTTGTACTAAAATCTATGTTTTGTACTAAAAACTACGTTTTATACTAAAAACTACGTTTTGTACTAAAATCTATGTTTTGTACTAAAAACTACGCTTTGTACTAAAAACTACGATTTGTACTAAAAATAATGTTTTGTCCCAAAAACTACGTTTTGACCTAAAAACTCCGTTTTGTACTAAAAAATACAGAAAACAAGAATAACAAAAAACTAAAAAAAAACTAATTTTAGTACCAGGAGCACATTTTGGATACCAAACGTAGTTTTGGTACTAAAAACTACGTTTTGTACTAAAAACTACGTTTTGTAATAAAAACTACGTTTTGTTCTAAAAACAACGTTTTGTACTAAAAACTACGTTTTGTACTAAAAACAACGTTTTATACTAAAAACTCAGTTTTGTACTTAAAACTATCTTTTATACCAATTTGGTACTAAAATATAACTTTTGTAACAGAAATCACGCTTAAATGAAATGTCAAGCTGTAATAATGGGTGTAAATAAGTTTTTAAACAAAATATTTATTTTTTAAATTATCTTTAAGCCATTAATCAAGGTGTGTAATGAACTGCATGATTGTTTGTATATTTTGAAATTTATTTCTCTACAAAACATCTGTTTTCAATATCGCCCCTCAAAAAGCAAACACACATTGTTTTTATACACCGATTCTCGTATAATTTAAGTCATTTAAGGTCAATATTGTAAAATACTAGAGGCACAAGGTCGTAACTTAAAACTTAAATAAGAAAAATCTTATATATAAGTACATCTGTGTTTATTTTTTGTAGATTTTATAAAGAAAAATCATTTTATAGATATTTTTTATTTAGGGGAATTTCATTCGCCAATGTCATTTTAAAAGAAAAACGAATTAAAGTAAATACTTTTATTTATGAAAATATACCAACAAAAATACGTTGTAAATTTTTTTTGTAAAATTATAAATAAGTTTTAAAATATTTTATTAAATTTCAATGAAACGAAAAAAAGACACACCTTTATGCGTCATAGATAAGATTAAATAAACAAAATTGAAATATTTTTTTTTAAATCTCCCAATTTTTTTTTTAATTACAGACATATTTTCAATATTTTTATACTCAATTTAACTCTCTTTATTTACGCTACCGTAAGTTGTTATTAGGTGTTAATGACGTAGATAACTATTTTTCAAATTTAGTTTGAAACTACGTTTTTCTATAAGTTTGGTACTAAGAATTAGTTTGGTACTAAAAATTACTAGCTGTGAATGAAACTCTTTTGTACTAAAAACTACTATTTGTACTAAAAACTACATTTTGTACTAAAAACTACGTTTTGTACTAAAAACTACATTTTGTACTAAAAACTACGTTTTGTACTAAAAACTACATTTTGTACTAAAAGCTACGTTTTGTACTAAAAACTACGTTTTGTACTAAAAACTACATTTTCTACTAAAAACTAGGTTTTGTACTAAAAACTACGTTTTGTTATGAAAACTACGTTTTGTACTAAAAACTACGTTTTGTACTAAAAACTACGTTTTGTACTAAAAACTAGGTTTTATACTAAAAATTAGGTTTTGTACTAAAAATTATGTTTTGTACTAAAAACTAGGCTTTGTACTAAAAATTACGTTTTGTACTAAAAACTCAGTTGTGTACTAAAAACTAGGTTTTGTACTAAAAACTAGGTTTTGTACTAATAATTACGTTTTGTACTAAAAACTACATTTTGTACTGAAAACTACGTTTTGTACTAAAAACTACGTTTTGTACTAAAAACTACGTTATGTACTAAAAACTATGTTTTGTACTGAAAACTACGTATTGTACTAAAAACTACCTTTTGTACTAAAAACAACGTTTTGTACTTAAAATTACGTTTTGTACTTAAAACTACATTTTGTACTAAAAACTACGTTTTGTACTAGAAACTACGTTTTGTACTTAAAACTACGTTTTGTAAAAAATACTCAGTTTTGTACTGAAAGCTCTGTTTTGTACTAAAAACTAGGTTTTCTACTAAAAACTAGGTTTTGTACTAAAAACTAGGTTTTGTACTAAAAACTAGGTTTTGTACTAAAAACTAGGTTTTGTACTAAAAACTAGGTTTTGTACTAAAAATTACGTTTTGTACTAAAAAACTAAGTTTTGTACTAAAAACTAGGTTTTGTACTAAAATTTACATTTTGTACTAAAAACTAAGTTTAGTATAAAAACCATGTTTAGTATAAAAAAGTATTAAGAACTTAATTTTTATAGAAAAAATGCGTTTTGTACTAAAAAACTCTCTCTATACTAAAAAATTCTGTAAGTACTAAAAACAATGTTAGAGTACTTTTTGTAATAAAAACAACATACAGTGGACGTCCACTAGTACGAATTATATAGTGTCAGACCCTTTCGTAATACCGAAAAATTCGTATTATTGAACAACACATTTTGTATGTTTAAATTCAAATAATACACATAAAATATTGTATTTTATTTATTTTTGTTTTATTTTTCATGATAAATTACATAACGGAACAAAATATAATAAATGTGTATTATTTTAAATAAATTTCTTGTACATAAACAGGCATAAAAGGGACATATTTACGTATATGAATTGTTAATTTTGAAAGTATCGTGAGTCCAATGGTTGAAATATATGTAGAAGGTTTTAAATTTTAATGTTTTTTAAAAGATGTGTGCCAAAGACAATTTGCAATTTACATATGTGTTCTAAAATGTATTAAAATGTTCAGATTACATAAAACTTTTATTAGAAACTTGAATGGAATATACCACAATTCTCTAATTTATAATTTTCTCTTAAAAATTAGAATAGTTATCCTTAAACCCATTGTTTGGAATGTGGAGTCACACTACTTTCAAAATTACCAGTTCATACATACATATGTATATAAATATTATTTTACTTATTAAAAAATCCATCATTTAACATCGATGTTTATTACATTGTAAAATGATTCTTACGGCTTTTTCAATAACAGCGCTTTTGAGGCTTCAATATTGTTCTCAGCAGAGTTATTGTCGGGAACTAATAAAATACTTTCCTCATTGGCGTTATCATCCAATTTAATTTCTTCTCTTGGGTCATCAAAATTCCAATAAAATAAATTAATAACACTAAATAATTCTTGATTTGTAAATATATATGCAGTAAATTGTGTGTATAGGATTTTTAAAAATACAAAACACTTGTAATAAATACAAAAAACTTCAAAATTACTGAGCTTAAGGTGAATGATACCGAAATAATAAAATAAAAACATAATAAAAACTTCATTCATACGTAAATAAAACCAAAATTCCCATAAAAATGCGTTATTCGTACTATCGAACAGAAAAATTGTGACTTTATTCGTACTATAGAGTAGACAATGCAACAATTTTGCCATTCGTATTATTGGATATTCGTAATAAAGAGTATACGTACTATTGGACGTCCACTGTATTGTACTAAAAACAATGCTTTGTACTAAAAACTATGTTTTGTACTAAATCTAATTGTTGTATTAATAGCTAAGTTTTGCACT